GAAACGTTGCAATTTATTGTCGCTCGTTTTTATACTACAATATCATGACCACCTCATACAATGTTTTGTTCGTATAATGTCATGTCCACCGCATATAATGTTCGTATGTCATGTCCACTTCATAATGTTTTGTTTTTATAATGTCCTATCAACCTCATATAATGCCGTTTTAGTAGTGGTGTCCATGGCACATCATAATGCCGTATCTACATCATATATTGCCATTTGCACCCTATATAATGCCGTATCTACCTCGCATAATSCCGTATTCACTTCTTATATTGTCGTATCAAYCTAGTATAATGCCGCATCGACCTAATATAACGAGAAATGCTCCGCATATGATGATAAATGAGMCACATATAATGTATTTTCCAACCCGTATAATGGAGTTTCCACAAAATATCAAACGAATTTTAGCACATAAGACAGTGATGGCGTGCCATACTTGAAACCCTCGTGGAAAAGGCCAATTTTTCTGATTGAGTGGGTAGATTGAAATTCTTGTTTTTTTGTCGTCCAATGTTTTTATTCGGAGCGTTAAGAACCTGCATGTCATACATATGAGAATACTTGTACACATGTACGTTAAAAGTCGTTTATGATAGTGCGATGAAAAAGGAGGGTCCCAGTTTGGTGCCCTTGGCTACAGTACGTACATATTAGCAGTCCGAAGACAATTGTACGTTGATACTTTTGCTTCAGGATGACTCCATATAAAAGAGCAATCTCTATTCTGCACTAGAACTGGTTAATGCTAATCAAACAGTATACCTGTTGCTTACGCTAAAGATTTTATTTTTGTAGTTTATTCAGCTTTATTTTATTCTACTTTTCAATTTCCATGTTCAACGCGTCAAAGGCTATAGAAACACTCGTCAGTCGACAAACAGGTGCTTCAAATGTGGGTACAAAGTCCACTGGAGTTCAGAGTGCACAAGCACGAAGTACCACCCCTCTACCTACCAGCCACGTAGATATGAGAGCCCAACCAAATGAACTTTCAGAAGACGAACATGACATTATTGAGGTAGACAATACTTTTTCGATATTTGATAAAGGGGAAATTGACTCAGAAAAAACACCCATCCAGAACATTCGTGGGAGACTTTTAGAGCATATAGATTTTTGGCAAAAAATTGGAGCTTGCGATAACATTTTATCAACTATTATAGAGGGCTACAAGATCCCTTTTTTGACTAATCCTCTGCACTTTAGACAGAAAAACAAGCAGTTTTTGGCCCTTATTATGGCAACGTTACGCTACTTTTATATATGAATATGACTATTTCCAAGGGAATGAAGCTCTTGTCCATGGTAGGAATGTAAAATCTATTCTGGGTTCACCTCAATAGAAGGGGCGCATTATTGCACTACGGATGTTTTCGCGAAAGATACAGAATACACCATGAAACTGAGTGATGGTTAGTTATGCGTTTTCGAGTCATATATCAGTTTTATCCATATGCGAGTCCACAATATTTTGCTAATGCTGGAGAGTTATATAGTATAAGACGATGGTCAATACACTCAAGCCAATGGGCTGTATTATGTTTTTTGCAATGCCGGAGGGCTGTGCAGTGTAAGACGATGGTCAATACACTCAAGCCGATGGGCTGTATTATATTTTTTGCATTGTCGGAAGGCTGCATGTAAAGTATAAGACGATGGTCAATATACTTATGCTGATGGGCTAAATTCTAAAAATGTTCTTTTATTTGTTCCAACATAATATAGCACCAATATAGAACTTATCTCTAATAAGTTCTCCTGTCTGGTCAAATGAAACACCCAGCTTACAGAGACGTTCATTAATGAAAAATTGTTTATATTTTAGAGCACCTTCAACTACCTTTAAGTACTTTAAGGAGGTGAAATCATTTTTTCAATTTCAGCTGAGTCAGCAAGTCTTCTGGATATTGCAGTCKACCTATCTCGTCTACTAGACATGCACAGAGACCAGCGAAGCGCGATCGAGCAATTAGCAAAGCGTTATCGCAGGTTATATTTGAAAAAACCGACRTGTTTCTTCCTCTTGGTCAGGTGAGCTAACGCGGATCTAACCTAGCCTCCTCCACAGGCACCCTTTTGTCTCTTTGTGTAAATTGCGCAGGAGCTTACCCTACGAGGTGAAGGTGCCAACGGACCTAGCTAGTTTCAACCGTTCAAATATAATCCCCTTTGCTTCTTTCATATCGTTTAATAAGTTAGGGTGTTATATTCATCACATTGACATGGTTGATAGATAGGCATGTATTACAAAAAGAGTTTCTTGATGTTTGCCCACCTAATTAATAAAGTGACGTAATCTTGAAAATTGCGCGGGGAAAAAAAACGCGAAAAAAAAATGATGCGCAGGAGGATATGCGCGCAAACAATTCCCGCGTAATAGCTAACCGAGGTATAACGTTAAGGTAAAATAGACTCATATTAAAATAGACTTTTTAGCCCGTCAATAACTGTACACTATTTTTCTTTCTTTTAGCAATATGCAGACGCTGCAGGGAAATGTATTCGTCTAAGGAAACTGCAAGCAAAGAACATAAAGAAATAGATCATGTAAGTACGTACTTACAAAATTAACGCCGCAGTTGCTTAGATTAAAGATTCAAAATTTTGATATGACCAATGAGATTAACGTCACGTGGTCACATGAATAACAATAATAATTGAATTCAATAAATGAAGTTCCGTTTTTTTTACAACAGTGATGTAATTAAGTCGAATTGTTTTTTATAGGAAACAGAGGATGATGCAGTTGCACCTGTTTGCCCTATTCAAGATCTCACCGAACAGTTCGATAACATGTCAGTCCAAGAACATAGCGCCATTCCTCCAGGTGAAGCTTCAGAATATCTTCCATCTGAATCACAAGAAGACACCGCGACATCACAAGAGTCAGTAACTTCCTCAGGTGAAGATAATGAAATGAAACAGCGTCAAGCACTAAAT